TAGTATGATAGAATATGATCCGCTGGATAATTGTTAGGATCCGAACCCAAACCTTGTTTTTCGGTTCATTTCTTGGGTTCCGAAAAAAGTGCCTATATCTTCTAATCAAGCATTTGCCAGTCTCTAACCTTTGGCGTATATACCTGAGAAGAAGATGATGTTGCTCTTTTCTCCTCTCTCATCAAAACACCTAAACTCATTCTCAGCTAACCTTTTACTTAAACCAATCAAGATTCCAACATGAGCTTAATGCAGACAAAATGCTCAAAAGCGACCTAAAGAGGTTGACTACAATAGTAAATGAAGACCACAGTGAGCAAAAAAAAGAGGTGAATGGATTGTTTGACTACTGTATAAAAAATGATGCATCGTTTACAAAAATAGTTTCATCATTCTTTGGAAGGGACTTGGTCTTCTGAGTTGGTACTTAATATGGGAACCTCCCATTCCAAGCTCTGAAGAACACTTTGGGCCAAAGAAACGGATAAAACTGTTTGTGTCTTCGTCTACACTCTCTTCCTGGAATCTCTGATGGTTTTGAGTTATCAATTTTGTTTGTCTTGGTGAACAAGGCGATGAAGAACCCTTCTTTGTCCTCAACTGGATCCATCCTGAGTAAATGTTCAGCTGCAAGCCAACATGATCAACTTGTTTAGAAAAAAAAGGTCAATCAGGTGAGTTGAAACCATATACTTACATCCTGTGAATACAGAGAGACCACGACGCTGCCACTGAGGGAAAGGAGTAGAGAGTTCGAAGCCTAAGGATGAAGCCAGAGGTAACACAGATGAGACCACATCTTCGTTTTCTATCTGGTGGATGGAGCATGTGCTGTATACTACTCTCTCAACCTGTGGAACTACAGTGTATAGACATATGATGAGTAGTAATTTAACAGACAGTTTTGTTATAGCCAACAAGAGACATGTAAGCTCACAGGAGAGTGCATGAGCAAGAGCCTTCTTCTGGAAAACAGCGAGTTTGTGTAGTCTTATGGAGTCATAGTTGGTGTTATCTACATGGAAAAGTGTCTTAAAAGGTTCAGTCATTACGTAACATAACACACAAATACACAGAGAGAGAGAAGAATCAGTTGAAAACCTGTTGAATGAGAAGGAAGGAGATGGTCCAGACGATCTGTAATGGTTCCAGAGCCAGAGCAAGAAGGATCCAACAATATAGCTCGAACCTGCGGTAATAAGCCACACGCATGCATTCAGAACAATGACTCAAATGAGTGATGACTATTTCTGCTTATGCTACAGAAGTAACTGGACTCTAGACAATAATTTTTAGATGCTACCGCCTAGTGATTTCTTGAACATTGATTAAAACAAACAGAAGAAAATGAAGAAATTGCACTCAGACAACATTTATCTTAATAGCAAGATGTAAGATCAAGAAAAATGATTCTAAAAACAGATAACCATACCACATAATAAAGTAATGCTCACCTTTGCAAAAGAAGGATCTGTTGGATTCAGGCTCAGAAAATCACCATGAAAGACTTCAATATCTACAACTTGTGGTTAAGAAAAGCAATCATGGACAGACATGAATTGAGAGCCATTTTTCCAATCAAATTTGCTCTTTACTTTCATGTAACTCAATTCACTTAGAACAAAAACTATAGAGCAGAAGCTAAAAGAAGGATACTGGTAGCACCAGACAGCTTTATTGTCTGTTCCAAACGCTTGACTCGCTCTTCATTTAGCTCACATGCTATGATTTTTCCTTGTCCTTTCATAAGAGAAGCAAGATGAACGGTTTTGTTACCTGGCGCTGAACAGGCATCAATAACCTTCACAAACAAGGTAAACAAGTTAGCATGGTAGTAACTAAACAGACAAGATACAATAAGTGTGTTGAACTGTGTGGCCTACCTCCCATCCTGCTTCTGCCTGCAGTGCTGCTGCTACCATTGAACTTCCCTTTCCCTATCATTCCAAGGGATAAAATATCAGCAAATTAAACAGAATTTACAAAGAGTTTTCACTGTTTACCTGCAAAAATAAACGTCCATTCATAACCAAAGGATGAGCATGCAAATCGCTGCCAGGTGGCATCACTAACAAGTCAGGAACTGTCTCATCCTTCTCCACCTATTTCACATTGTTAAAAAAACATGTGAGCTCCTTCTCACAATCACTATAGCACCTTCCTTCTTATGTTAAAAACTCATTATGCAACACCAGCATTATTCAAGGTTTACTAAAAACCTGGTAGGTACCTTATACAGTTTCTCCAGCTCCTGCACTGCTGAATCAACATCCATCTTAAGTGTATTAACACGAACATAACGTGGTTTTATATGACCTGCATCCAATTTTAAAAATCAAGACACAGAAGAAAAATAACACTCTAAAGACAAAAAATATAGGCAACACATTAATGCTAGGGTATCATATACCATTAAGCTGAGAAAGATCCAACAACTCTTCAACGCTTTTAACTTTCTTCCTCACTAGAAGCGTGGCTAGACCTGACAATAGAGCATCTTTGCGGCGCACAAGAAACTTCTCAGCATCACCAATAGATGGAGTCTCCTGCAATCACAAGCTCTCTTGAGAAAACCAACCAAAACATTAGCTAGAGACTGTAGAGAAGCTCACAAAAGGTATTACCTTGCCGAAGAGGATATCATAGCAAACAATGTAGACCAATGGCTCTTGCCTCTACAAAGAGAAAGAACAAAACTAAGCATCGACAGGTAAGTGAAAGGAGTGATCTTTATAGAGGTTATGATGAAACACATTACCTTCCATTTGCTATTCAATACGTTAGCGATTTCAAGAACGTCCTTTATCACATTAAGATCTGCGTACAAGACAAAACTAGTTCATATTACACGAAGCTTCAAAATTCGATTTTGACTGTTTGGGCTAGGCCTGGAAAAACAAACCCAACCAAAAACCGTAACCAAAATAACCAAAACAGAACAAGACCGAAACCTTCGAATATCCAAATGTTCTTATGTTTTTATATCTGAAATAATTAAACCGAACTGGTAAACCGAACAATTACCTAAATAAATAAAATATTAATTATACATACATATAACACAACCAAATATTTATATAATATCTAAAATTCTATTAAAATATATCCAAACTATCAGAAATTATCCAAAAGCATTTGAATATTTTTATCCGAAATATCCAAACTACCCCATTTTTATTCAAATCATCCTAATTACTCAATATTTTACCGAAAATATCTGATATTTTACCTGAATTAACCGAAACTAAACCAAACCAGAATCTAATTTTTCGAGATATTAGACAGTTCTCAGATTACTATCCGAACCGACCCAAACTCAAAACTACCAATCCGAACCAAAAATTTACCAGATTTCCTATATGGATCTTCTAATCCCCTATCCGAACTAACCAAAATATCCAACAAAAACCTGATACCCAAAATGCCCCTGCCTATATGCATCTTCTAGTCCCTACCCGAACTACCGGAAACACCAAATCCGAATCAATACCCAAAATGCCCCTGCCTAGTGTGTGCATTGGCTATGAGTCTCTCTCTGAGCTAGTAAAGAAGAAAGAGACATACACTTTAGCGTCTCGCAGACAAGAGCGAAGGTTCCACGTTTGTTGCGAACAGAAGGGCTGAAGACGAGTGACTTTATTGAAGCGACGGCTCGGCGCTCCGCGTCACCTCGGAGAACGGTGTGGAGGACTTTAGCTGCTTCTCTCCTTGCGTATAAAGACGATCTCTCGGCGCCGGAAGTTTTTTGTTTGCTCGGCTGACGTGTTACTTTCGGCGGCGCGTTTGTTTTGTGACGCGCCATGATAACCCTCTTACGAAACTAAAACCCTCTCCTTTAAATGGTAAGATCTTTAAATACAACGGTTTTGAGTTTTCCGGTTTTATAAAACCGAACCGAATTGTACCGGAAAGGTTTTAGGGTGCAAAATAAAAATGGTTATATTTTTAATGTGTTTCTAATTTCTATATATTATATTTTTGAAACTTTATTGTTCTTCTATATTTAGAGGCAAATGTAACCTTTCTTAATAAATAGAGAAAAATATACCATTTTTTCATAGAATGAATTGGAACAAAAACTTCATTTCTATTTTTTTCTATGATAAAATCTTTAAAATAAAGATGATTTGGAAATATTCTTGTAAAGTAGTTGAGTTGAATTTGACTATATTCTAGTAGAATTCACTGTTTAAAATGAAATTGATATGTATCTATTTTTAGTAGGCTCTACTAAAAATTGGAAATAAGACCAATTCAGGGTTACTCTTTTAAAAATAGAGAAAAATAGTCAGAAAATTTGTGAAAAAAATAATTCCTTTTTTTTTTTTGTATATATGTATCACTAAACATCTCATTCAACTACTTTTAATCACCACTATTGTTATTAGGTCTAACAACTAGAGATATCTCGTATGGACAAATATTGATCCAAATGGTATAATATTGCAACTTGAATCGTTACGACATACTTTATGTGAATACTTAAGCTTTCTTCACCATTTTTTTTTTGCTAAATTAGCTTTATTCACCACTTGTAACATTTTCTTGTTACCAAAATGATCCCTGCATAAACAAAGTCCGCATGACTATGACTAGAAAAGTCAACAGTCTCTAATCCATAGAATGCATTGGTGTTTTCTCTCAGTGATGATGACAAGACTTGGTGGGAACGTAACTTAAGCCTTAAGTTCCTTGCACCAGAAGACTTAAGAAAAGACTTGCAAAAAAAAAAAAAAGTAGTTGTGGACCAAGACACAAGTCAACCCCAAGTCTTTGTAAGACCAACACTGTTTTAAAGCAGCATCATCTTTCTTATGTCAGCTTCCTCATAAAATTTGTACCCACAAGTACACGTTTCTACAGATTTTATATTTTATAAGTTTTCAACACTTACCTTGAAGCTTCCTTTCTATAGTTAAGTCTTTACATATTCCAAAAAAAGAAAGATTTCTTGAAACATTCTTTTTTTTATATGCATAGATAGTAGTGTTTTTTGAGTTATGAGTGATGCAGAGACAAATTTGGCGTGGAGTTTCAGTGATGATACTCACTCAGGTTTCGAAATTCCGGATCTATACTTGTCAGATGAATGGATGGACAATGATCTTGTCTCTGCGGTTTCCGGGATGAATAATTCTTATGGTTATCAGATCAGTGATCATGCTTCCTCTGTTTTGTTCTCTGGTTCCTCTAGCAGTTTCATTCATCCCACATCTCCAAGTAGTATAGCTTCTGTTGCTGCTGCTACAACCACTGCTTCTGCTGGTAAGTTTCTCTTTCTTTTTGTGGAAACCATATAACAGAGAAAGGATCATCTTGAATGAAAATGGAAATTATAATTCATATGAGTGTTTGGATCAAAACACTCCTTTAAAGTTTAAAGCATGTTTATAATTGTAGCTTATTCTGATCTTATTCTTAAACACTCTAAGCTGAATCTGTTTTTCTTTCTTGTAGAAGGAAACCAAATAAAGAAAGAAAAGAAGAAAGTTAAAGAGAGAGTTGCATTCAAGACAAAATCTGATGTGGAAGTGCTTGAGGACGGGTTCAAGTGGAGAAAGTATGGGAAGAAGATGGTGAAGAACAGCCCACATCCTAGGTAAGGATCACATTTTTCTCAATATTAATTACATTTTTCAAATCTCAAACCTTTTCATACTCTTAAGACCAAAAACACACACAGAAAGATCTATTAGTTCTAAAGAAGCATACCAAATTTGACAAAAACATGGCTTGCTTGTTAGAGTTTAGCTGTTATGACCTCAAAAATCAAATACACCAAAAGTACTTTAATTATAATGATTTTCCTTGTTCGTTTTGCAGAAACTACTATAAATGTGCAGCTGATGGGTGTCCAGTGAAGAAAAGAGTTGAAAGAGATAGAGATGATCCTAGCTTTGTGATAACAACTTACGAGGGCTCCCACAATCACTCAAGCATCTACTAAAGCTCCTAAGGATTTTTATCATTTATTCGGTGTTAATTACCTAAGGCATATGAATCAAATATATAACCAGTGATATTCACGGTATGTACCTTATGAATCTGTTCTTGAGACTTATTTTTGTGAACATTATGTTCTTGAGACTTATCAATGGTTATCATATTTATACTGCTTTTAGCTCATTGTATATTTGTATTCAATGTAAACTGGTTAACAGGTTTCACAAATTTTGAGAGACTTATTATGAATCAGTAGTACTTGAAGTATGGTTTATGTTTTTTTTTTGTTTTTTTTTTGTTTTTATGGTTTATGTTGTTACAAGTGAGGATCAGGGATGTTGTTAACAACATAAGATAGCCGAATCTGATAGAGCACAATGATCTCTTGAATTAATACCCGAAAACAAGCCATCAGAAAGAATTATAGACGGTCCACTTACCATGTAGCAATACTTTGATTCTACACTTGACCTTCCTGTAGTGAAATGTAGACCAAGGGACATGTTTCTCGAGTCTTTTACACTAAAGACAGAAACTCATATGTTTTGAGTAAATAGGCAAGATATCATCAAGCTTTTTAAAAGAAACAAAGCATATAGCTGCAAGAAGAAGACCATGATCTTGCAAATGGAGTATATATATACCAAACAAAACATTTCTCTTACACATTCTTATACTGATGACATTTGAATATACTACTTTTAACTCGAAGAAGAGGAGATTGCGAAGGATTTTCCATCATGGCTGGCTCTTAAACAGAGAGTGGAAACAACGTATAAAATAAGCATAAAATAATATGCCGATGGAAATGCTACAATCACAATTTTCTAGTAATGTCTACTGAACATAATGCATGAAGCTAAGATAGACGACTTGTGTTGTTTCTCTGTTCTGTTTTCGTTAGAAAACGGCATGCAATTTATTTTATTCAGTTTAGGGACAGCACGACGTTGCCATCAATTTTATAAGGAAACCTTTATTTTTTTTTAATATAATGCATGTTTTAAAAGCTATTAAAACGATATTGAACTAGTTAAGAACCAATCAAGTTGAAATTATTAATAGTAAAATCATAATAAAGGAATTTTTTTCTTTAAAAAAAATCATAATTAGGCAATCAGTTGCATGCATATCAAAATAAACATCACTATATTTCAATGTTTAAGAAATCGCTAGATAGTAATTATGTAATTTGTAGAAAACTAAAGACTAGACAGATTACTTGGCGCCTAGGCGTTAACAAACTATTGATTTATTTTATATTTATATAAGACATTTTAATTTTGGCTTTAATTATAAAACTGTTTTTAATGAATTATCACAAAAACAAATCCCACAAATTTATGGATTTAAAGTAACATTATTACTTAATTTAACAGATTTAGATTAATTCATACCCATTTAAAACATTTTAAATAGATTTACAACTCTTAAACCAATTTGAATCTATAAATCAGATGTTGTGAAAAATAAGTTTTGGATAATATATATCGATTTGTCGTGGTTTAGGGGTCTAACCGCCGTCTAGGGCCTAAAACCATGATTATCCCTAAAATTCAATAAGAATTTTCTTTTTCTAAAAGATTTTTTTTGTTTTTTGCTTAGTAAAAAAAATTAAAAAACGTATTAATCGTGGACCGCTGCATGTCGATAGGAGCCGCGAACCATACTGTATTCATTAACATGCAGTTTTAAACGTTGAAACGTAGATTTCTGTAAATATAAAAGAGGATTGATAAACTAGTGGACTCATAATGATGCAACGAATATATTTTGTGAGAATGCATGCTATATGTTGAAAACACAAAAAATATTTCTTTATAATGTAAAGTATATATATAAGTCATTTACTCAGCCAAAATTTTGACAATATACGTTTTATATTAGCAAATTTCGTTTTAAAATTAATTTAATAAAAAAAAAACAAATCTTCTCTTTAAAATTGTTCAATGATAGTTCTGAAAATCTTATCCTTTTGTAGTTATCCTTTATAGACTATTTTAATTAAATTGCTTGAATCTATACTATTATTTGCGAAGTGATTTTTCGCAACGGAGCTCTCACGTTAAAAGTTAGAGTGGTTAATATCTATTTTACCCTTAATGAAACTTTTATATATAACTAATTTTATAATTAAAAACGAAATTTAAAAAATAAAATTAGATTAGTATGTTATTATCTTAGATAACTTAGAATAATTAATATAATAAGTTTATAAAAAATCAAAAATAAGATAATTCTTATATATGTTATTATCATCTGAAAATAATATTGTAACAACATGATAATGCTTATATATCTTAATTTTATATATAATTGATATTGGCTTTTGAAAATAATATCATTATTATTGGCTTTTAAATTTAAAAATTAAAATTTAAAAATCGATCTATACTATTATTTGCGAAGTGATTTTTCGCAATGAAGCTCCCACGTTAAAAGTTGAAGTGGTTAATATCGTTTATACCCTTAATGAAACTTTTATATATAACTAATTTTATAATTAAAAACGAAATTTAAAAAATAAAATTAGATTAGTATGTTATTATCTTAGATAACTTAGAATAATTAAGGGGTTTTTGCAAAACCAACCTAAAATTTCAAGTCAAACACAAAACCAACCTCTTTTTTTTTGTCATTACTATTCACTCTTAAAAAACCTAAACTCTCCTCATGTTTCCACCTATTTACCAAAATGCCATTATTTTTAAATCTGATTTTATTTTCGAAAATTATAAAAAACCTATTACACCCTAAACATTTCTCCNTTCCTCTCATTTCCTCTCTATTTTCATCTAAACATACCTCATAACTCTCATTTTCATAAACACAAACTTCATATTTTCGATTTTATCCACAAGTGGATCGTAAAGGTTGCTTCTTTTGCTCATATTTGGATTCTAGACGGTGGAAAAGCTTGGAAACAAGCTTTAAACCGGTGTCAAGGTAACTCTTTACAAGCTTTTCATCATATCTCTGATTTGTATCGCGAATGTAGACTGTATGATATGTCTACACATACGTGTAGACTTACGATGCAGTCTACTTGTCAACGCACAGGTTACTTTTGCAATTGACCAAAATAATTTTTTTTGTAATGTAGATCTACAAGTACGTCAACATCTTTACCTTTGAAAACAAAAACAAAAAAAATTGGTAGACTTACTAAGAAATCTACATAAAACAGGTTAGATTTGCATTTGACCAAAATTTTGACTTACCATAGTAGACTTTCGTGGAGGTCTACACTTTGTAGACTGCTAGGTAAGTCTACGGAAGGTCAGTTTTGCATTTGACCAAAACTTTGACTTCGTTGAATAGGTTTCTTTTGTATTTG